CTGCTCCAGAGACATCGGCGAGCACGTCTTCAATTTGGGCGCGTACGTATGAATTAGGGAATGGAACAACTCCGGTCACCTGATGGTCGAGAGTGAGTGTGGAGACGTCGTAATGAAAGGTTTGCGACCTGCACCATTTCGGAAAGAGTACCTTTCCATGGAGGTCCTATTCCCATTTTATTGGTGACGGATTCATGCTAATGCATGACAATGCGCGACCGCACGTAGCACGTGTGGTTAACGAATATCTTGATGAAGTAGGGTATTGAACGGATAGAGTGGCTCGCGTGCAGCCCGGACCTTAACCCTATCGAATATCTTTGGGACCAACTTGAGAGACGCATTCGTCGTCGTCCTGTCCTACCGGACAACCTTCAAAAGTTACAAATTGCTTTTGAAGAAGAGTTTACCGCAATTGCACACTGACATCAACGACATGCACCATTTGAAGACGACACCGAGCTTCTACAGCTGTCGTTCTACGATTGCTTAGAACAATAAAACGGTCATCAGCTACTATTGTCACTCGTCTTGTTTTCACAGGCGATCACTTGAAAATACTGCATCTTCATTAGTAACAGAGATAATAGAGTGAATAAAAAAACAAAATGCTCAGAATAGATTGGGCTACCATTTGATTCCAGTTAACACCCTCTGCTGTAGCAGCTGCATCCCATAGGGTATTACAAATTTCGGGAAAAAAAGGTTTTCTCATTCTTGCACCCCGTATATGCTCAAATTAATATCCGAATAAAAATTTCTATCGCAGGATTATTACAGAAGAATCAACGTTTCGATCAAAAAAAGAATCATCAAAATCGAATGAGTGGTTCGCGAGTAAGCCAGCTTTGAAATTGTGGCTACATTTTGGTGGCCGGTTTTTTTTGCCGGTCAGTGTATAAAACAAAAGGTTGGTGAAGGAAAAATAATTATAAATTATGTGCCTACTGAAGATATGGTGGCAGATTTGTTCACTAAATCTTTAGACCATATTAAGCTGAATAAATTTAGAACTAGTTTGGGTTTAATTAGGTTTGAATAAAAATTGTGTGAAGCGACCGGCGTAGGTTAAGTAGCGTGTGATCTTATCTTGAGTGTGTTTTTACACGATTGTTAATCGGCGTGCGTATTTATTTTTCAATAAATCATAAGGACTCGACTTATAATTTCTTCAACTCAACAAGTAAACTTCCGTTATTTCCATTTAACCCATCAGTTCAATCCTTTGGCGAGCACAGAGGTTTCGTCTTTCGTTAGTGGGACATTCGATCTGTTAATGCCGATTGTTTCTACTGGTAAACTATTACTTTTCTTCTTTTGTGACCGGCGTTCCAGAGATTCAAACTTCTTGATGTGCGTGTCACGGGTCTTCTGAAATTCGCATATACATTTTGCACTGTATTATTCCGGATATACAATTGGAAAGTGAGAGGTGGAGTCGTAGTAACTTCTCACTTATTTTTTGTAGATCATTGAAGGTCTTGTGGATTCTTTCTCGTAGCAGTGCTTGTTCTGTCCTAATCAAAATTCTTCGTGCTGCAGCGGAGTCGATGTGGTGTTTCACCTTCAAGAAGGTTGGCGTTACTTTCTTCTCTCTGCATCTTCGTAGAAAGGCCAAACTGCTCAACAGCTTGCGTTGTCTAATTCGCGAGTTATCCTCCAAATCTTTGATTTGTTTCTTGATATCCTCCCCATAAAGGTTAATAATATAAGTACGAAGGCTTTCACGGCCGGTGTGAATTAAACTAAAATTAGAACTAAAACTAGAACTAACACTAGAAACTTTCGGGTTTTGCCGTGCGTCTTTTAGGGCGGCCGCACATTTGCTACTTTTTGATCCGATTGTCGGAAACGATTGTCGTATCCGACTATCTGACGCTGTACCGCACACTACCGACAAAATATGTACATCCGATTTTGATCTCATTTGAGTTTCATACTTCGGTGTAACGCGTCGCAAAAGAAAATGGAGGACGACGAACTTCTGGCGATTGCTTTTCTATTATCACAACCGAGAAAAAAAAGAAAACGTCGCTACTGGATACATCCGTTAAATACGAAAAGACTTCAACAAAGCCAGTTTTACATTTTGCATAATAAGTTACGTGCTCATCCGGAAAAATTTTTCGATTATTATCGAATGTCAATTAATTCATTCAATGAACTTCTCAATTTGATTCGGGAAGACATAACGAAAAAGGACACACATTTGAGACTTGCAATTTCTACAGAACAACGATTAGCTGTTACTCTCAGGTAAGATTTTTATTATCATACTATTATCATACTATTTTCGAAAATTCAAATATTCATGTATAAGATCATTATCAGCACACTCTAACATACTATTTTGTGATGATCGTGGTGGTGGTTGCTGTTGTGATCGTGGTTGATGCAAAGATGCAGACCCAACGGTACTATGTTCTGGATTCGGTGGAATCAGTACTGTATATGTGGCACATTCTGTGTTACGACCAATATTATATCGATTCATGTGTAGAGAACTCGGAGGACTTGGAGAGCATATCATCTGAGGGCTTTGTGAACTGAAGGTATGCGACGAAAGCGAGGAATGAACATTTCGTGGCGGTTCGCTAATTTGTTTTAGTAGCTATAACATGCCAATTTTGAAATCCAATTTCTGAGTTCTGTTCATTGCTTCCATGTCACTTCGGAAACTTAACAAAAACTTTGTATCGTCGTCATCATGTATGGGTTGTTCTTTTCTCTGTTTCATTATAGATTGTATTTGCGTTGGCACATCTTTTTCAGCAACCTTTTTCTTTTTCGCATTAGTAGGTTTTTCTTCCGTGATGTAGTCTTCCACAATTGAGTTTTGACTATCTTCTTCTTCTCTAGTTCCAGTTTTTGAAGTTCCTTAGCCTGCGTCGTCGTAATTCCCCTCGTGACTTAAAAACAAAATGAAACATTTACTTTAACTTGAATCGGTACATGATGCATTCATACAATATTGTAGAAATGTATATTTATTATTGTGTTTACCATCGACTCTGCATAACGGGAGCTAGAAATGTTAGAAGATCGGTGTAAACATATTTCTTCACTTTTGTAGCACCCGATCCTGTTGGAGTTTGTTTCACTTTATTGATATCTCTCCGGTAGCAATCACGTACGTTGTTCCATTTCTTTTTTAACTCGACACCTGAAATTAAAAACTTTTTATTGTACTTATAGAACTCCGTGTATATTACCTATGTCGGTAGCTATAATTGAAAGATATGCTTTGTTCAACTACGGTAGACTGTTGAGGTAATGCTCTCATGTGTAAAATTAGGTGCGCAGTATTTTCTAAATAAATTCATAAATTTTGAAGTTGTCAAGGAGAGGTTAATTCAACGTGACAGATTATGTTAGAATTAAAAAAATTATAACCTTTCTTTGACAACTTCAAAATTCATGAATTTATTTAGAAAATACTGTACAATTTTTTTAACCTGAGAGCATAACCTCAACAGTCTACCGTAGTTGAACAAAGCATATACACCTAAACATACTTATTTTTCAGATTCCTTGCCACAGAAAAGAACTTTGAAATGCTCAAATATGATTTTTTAATGGGAAGCAGAACCGTATCTAGCATCGTACAAGATACGTGTGAAGCAATATAGAGAATTTTAAAACCGTTGGAATTGCAACCACCATCATCAAAAGAACGATGGGAAGAAATAGCAAAGAATTTTAATAACAAAGCTAATTTTCCAAATTGTCTAGGCGCAGTAGACGGAAAACACGTGCGACTGATTTGTCCACTGCACAGTGGTTCCAACTATTATAACTATAAGACATATTTTTCTATAGTTCTGTTGGCTGTTGTTGATGCCGACTATAGTTTTATTGCAATTGATGTGGGTGCCTATGGGCGAGAAAGTGACAGCAACATCTTTAACGACTGGACCTTTGGGAAAAAACTTGCTAGAAATGAGCTGAATTTGCCTGGTCCAAAAGCATTGCCGAATACTGATAATCCATCGCTGCCATATGTATTTTTGGGCGACGAAGCTTTCGCTCTAAATACAAATTTTCTGAGGCCTTACCCTAGAAACAATTTGAACGAACAACGTCGAGTTTTTAATTATAGGCTGAGTTGGGCACGGCGTCTTGTAGAGTGTACATTTGGAATCCTTTCAAACAAGTAGTTACATAATTTTGTACGCGCAAGAGATGGGTATAACTTTGAAGATTCTCACTCATTATTTTGAAGATAATCCATTTAGATGTCCACAACGCAGATCTACCAATCAAGGCCGAAATGTTCGAGACAATTTTTCAGAGTACTTTGTTTCACAGGCTGGGGAAATACCTTGGCAATATAGGCACATAAATAACTAAGCCGCTATAGTAATTATTTACTAATAATATAAATAAATATTGTTTCACTTACGTTTCTTCTTTTTGTCCTCGTCACTTGTACTGTCCCAATCCTTAATTACTTCCAAGCACACTTGTTCCCAGGCATGATCTTTTAAGTCGCGATCATGATAAGATTCGTGGCTAACATTCCACAAACACGGATATTTTTCGATCGAAGTAATTAGGTGTTCGGTATCGCACATGTTTGTGTGTCACAGACTGACCCACCTGCTGGCGCGCCAGATCTGACAAAATAATCGTATGTTTGCGGCTCAGCATGCGAGAACTATGCACAGCGCGCCTTTCGACAGTCTGCTCCGATTTTTTGTCGGACCGACTAGTATGATGCACTAGGCCTGCATCCGAATCGGACGTCCGACCTGATATCGGATCGTAGGTTTGCGATATGGTCGTATAAAACTACAGTTATTTGAGCGTCAGATAGTCGGATATCACAATCGTTTCCGACAATCGGATCAAAAAGTAGCAAATGTGCGGCCGCCCTTAATAACGTCATTGCTATTTATATGTCTGCTCTTTGTGATGTTGATTTTATTTTATTGACCGTAAGTTCTATAAGAATTTTAACTTTTAATTATTAAATTGTAATTAAAATATAATTGTAGATTCGGCCGAAGATGACTAAGTAAAACTAGTCGAAACCGGTTCCGTCAAAATAAATTGAATTTTGCAAGATAAGAAGTTATATTTATTTGTTTATTATTTTAATATTTAAACGAAACTTGCAACATGGATATCAACAGTTATAAAGTAAATTTAGTTAATTGCTGTTAAACTTAATTTTGAATTTTGTGCTAACAATAAGTCGAGTGTTACTTGATTTCTGGTTGTGCTTTAAAATATCAACAAGTTGTATTGTTATTAATTACCTTTTTCTTGACATGGAGCGCAAAAATTTAAACCAAATACATTCCGATTTTCTAGTGTGCTCAATTCCTACCTTTTCCGGTTCAACTGTTTCAGTAGGGGCATTAATTTTTTCTCCACTGTCTTTTTGTCAACCATTCTGTTTCATCGGATTCTTCCTCACTGATATCACTTTCATGTAATTTTACTTCTTGTGGCTAACTTGCTACTACGAAATTTTCATCGTCAATTTCTTTCTCATCGCTTTGCATTTCTTGATCTGGTGGTCATAGAACTACATTCAAAGCGTCATTCAAAACACCAAGCGATGTAAAAACGGTTAAGGAAAAACAAAAAGTATTGTTTGAAAAATGAAATCAAAATGGGACTTTGTTTATTGTTATTATTAATAAAATGATACAAAAAAAATTGCACTAAACAATTTCTTACAAAAAAAAAGAATATAATAAAAAAAATAATTAAGATAAAGGTTTTTTTCTTTCTACATCTTGGTACAAAAGTCTTTTTTTTTTAAATTAATGTTAATAATCGTCGTAATAATAATATTAATTAAAAATGTATATTTTTTTAACTGTACACATATTTTTTTTTATAATTTTTATTGTTTTATTGAGCTTTGAATTGATAAAAATCTCAGTTGTATTCAAAAAAATCTAAATATTTATTTTACAATTAAAAAAAAAGCTTTTTTAATTAATAAAATAAATATTTTTGTTAATCTCTCTCTCTCTCTCTAATAATTGTAAGGTGCGTAACCGGATGATGTTGTATAATACGGTCCTGGATAACCACCTGGGGCTGCAACCGGATACCCAGCATAAGCGTATTGTTGTTTTTGTGGATAAACTGTTAAAAAATTAAACAAAAATTAATTAATTAACCCAAAGAGTTAAAAAAGTTAGTGGTTTTTATAAACATAAAAAGCATTTTTGTAAAGCTCAAAGCGTTTTAATTTTTTGGATATTTACAATAATTTTAGTTTGTAATAAATTAATAAATGAATGCTTAAAAAGAATTACCAGGCATTATATACTGCATATTGACGTTATCCTCCCGTTCCCGTTCTCCCCTCAAACAAATCGCAGCACCCGAAAACAAAATCGCGGCAACCAGCGACCAAAAAACTCCAACCCAAGCCAAAACATAACTCCAATCATAATTGGCCCTCGCATTTTCCTTTAGAACCTATCACCATCATCAACAGCACAGCAACCCGGTAGCAGCGGCATCAAGGATGAATATAAACCCATAAAAGCGGGTTTATGGCGATGACGGTGGGAAGAAGGAGATGGGAGGAAGAGAATTTCCGGAAAAAAAGAGAATAAAACGAATGCGTTAGTTAACTGTTTTTGGATTAATTTGAACGTACCGGGCATTATGTATTGAACGTTTCCGTTGGCTGTTAGATCGTCTCGGTCTTTCTCAGTCGCTAAACAACAGGAGCTAAATAAAAATAAAAATGACGCGGCTAATGATGTAAACACGCCGAGCCAACCCAATATGAAACTCCAATCGTAGGTGAGGTCCGTGTTTTCCTGAAGGATCTAGATTTTTTTTTAAATAAATTATAAAAAAATATAATAAAAGTTAATGATGTCAAAAATTTATTTGACAATTACCTCAAAATTGACACCTTTGAAGTTAATTCATGGTAAAATTGATTATAAAATGTTCAAAACGATCAAGTAAGTTTTATTTCTTTATTTAAAACGTCAAAACTATCAATTTTGATGAAATAAACTAAAGCTTGGAAGAAAAATATAACAGAACATACAATTATTTTGACAGATGTCAAATCTGGACGTTTTACAATTGAAGACCTTGCTGCAACAACTATCTTTTTTAAATGAGTTAAATACATTGTTACATTCAAAAAAATAGCACCCATCAGTTGGCGTAACAGCGAGTCACGAAGCGATTGGGATCCTACTGGGGCAATGATAAATCAGGGTATGATTTCTTGATAGGTATAAAATAAAGACGGAATTATGATTGAGTTAATTTTCGAAAATCAACAATTTTGATGTTTAATCGGTTTAGAGCTTATAAATAAATAATGGTAATAATTGGGTTCAATCTTTTTATGGATCTAGTCTTTATAGTCCATTACTAAGGTTTTATGTATAAAAAGTTTTTCTCCATCGCTTTTAGTTTTTGAGTTATGATTGAGTTAATTTTCGAAAATCAACAATTTTGATGTTTAATCGATTTAGAGCTTATAAATAAAAAATGGTAATAATTGGGTTCAATCTTTTTATGGATCTAGTCTTTATGGTCCATTACTAAGGTTTTATGTATAAAAAGTTTTTCTCCATCGCTTTTAGTTTTTGAGTTATGATTGAGTTAATTTTCGAAAATCAACAATTTTGATGTTTAATCGATTTAGAGCTTATAAATAAAAAATGGTAATAATTGGGTTCAATCTTTTTATGGATCTAGTCTTTATGGTCCATTACTAAGGTTTTATGTATAAAAAGTTTTTCTCCATCGCTTTTAGTTTTTGAGTTATGATTGAGTTAATTTTCGAAAATCAACAATTTTGATGTTTAATCGATTTAGAGCTTATAAATAAAAAATGGTAATAATTGGGTTCAATCTTTTTATGGATCTAGTCTTTATGGTCCATTACTAAGGTTTTATGTATAAAAAGTTTTTCTCCATCGCTTTTAGTTTTTGAGTTATGATTGAGTTAATTTTCGAAAATCAACAATTTTGATGTTTAATCGATTTAGAGCTTATAAATAAAAAATGGTAATAATTGGGTTCAATCTTTTTATGGATCTAGTCTTTATGGTCCATTACTAAGGTTTTATGTATAAAAAGTTTTTCTCCATCGCTTTTAGTTTTTGAGTTATGATTGAGTTAATTTTCGAAAATCAACAATTTTGATGTTTAATCGATTTAGAGCAGTAGTGTCCACTAATTTTTGATCAAAATCGACTATATAATTATCTTGCCAAGATCAACCGAAGGGTTTATAGTAACCTTCCTGGTTTCTTGCTCTGAGGCCCAGATATTAGATATTTCAGATTCATGATTTTCTTGGCGATCCGATCGACGTTATGGACACCACTGGTATAGGGTGTTATAGGTTTAAAAACCTTGGTAACCATATATGTATGTTTGGCGGATAACTGTCTTATCGGCACCGTTGAGTACCTGACAGGTTATCCTGCCGATAATCTCAGCGACAAAAATATCCCTACTTTGTATAGTCTTCCACACGGCGATCGGTTTTTATGACTCTGTCACTTTCCTACTGTAGTTGTAAAACTAACAAAGACGGGGTTGTAAGAGGTAGTTCCCCATTGTAAAATGCTGGGATTCCTCACTCAGGCCGGCATTAAGGACCACACTTTACTGGCAAATTGTAGAAAAATAATAGGGTCATATATAAATATTCATTATTCTCTTATTTGTTGTGTTTCTAATATTAAGTACATATTTTTTCTAAGAAATGTTTTGAGGAGGCATGCATTGACTACTTACAAAAGAGGGCGGAGAATAATTAGATTCTTTAAAATTTTGTTATTCTCTTATTTAGACATTCCTAAAAGTAATATTTTTTTCTAATTTGATCAATGTTAATAGTAAAATCCATTTTACCAGTAGATGTGAATGATATTTGATTGAATTTTGATTTTTATAAATCACTAATTGTACTTGTATACTGGTTTATTATAAGTAAATCCGCTTTACATGTTTCGACTAATTAGTCATCTTCAGAAGCGTTGTCGTAATATAAGAAACGGCGTTCAAAAAGCTTCGCATAAAGTATAAATCGTAAATAAGGTCAGCACATCAAAAACGGTGATATTCAAAACAATTATTGTAAATATTAAATTTTAAAAAACTATAGAACTAACATGTTAAAATGTAAATGTAAAGTTTAAGAATTAAAATTAAAAACGAGACGTTACTTCAAAGTTACAAAAATAAAAATCTTAATTTTTAAAATCTTAATTTATACTTTATGCGAAGTTTTTTAAACGCCGTTTCTTATATTACGACAACGCTTCTGAAGATGACTAATTAGTCGAAACATGTAAAGCGGATTTACTTATAATAAACCAGTATAAAAGTACAATTAGTGATTTATAAAAATCAAAATTCAATCAAATATCATTTTTTTTCTAAGACTTTTATACTAGTTTTTATAATTAAATTTTAGTTGTTATAACTAAACTTTGGTTTTTTATTAAATTTTAGTTTAAAAAAATTTAAGTTTTACCCTGTCCTTGTATGACTGTCATAAGTCTTTTCAGGTACTCGAGCGGGCAAAAATCACCCCGGCTTTTATTTATGACTGTCATAAAAACCGATCTGGATGTGGAAGAGTATAATGCAGTACAAACATGGTACAAACCAAGTTATCGACCAGATAACGCTGCCGGGAAGTATGTATATCGGTATATGTATTGTACAACCGGCCCTTAGTACTATAATTATATTTTCAGCTTTTATACATACATATACGCTGTATGTCAAAAATGATTAAAGTCAAACTTAAAAAACAGGTGTTTTGACAAATGAGAAGATTTTGGAATATTGCAATAAATTTACGTAAAAAATTTGACATTTACGTCAAGTTTCGACAGTTTTAATTTTTTAGTTTAAAGACAAAAATTGTCAAAAATTATTAAAAAGTGTTTGGGCTCATTTTAAAGAATTTTCAATATTTAAAAAACGTCAAATTGGTGATCTGTCAAAAATAAAAATAACTATTCCTATGGAATTAAATGTAATAAAAAAATTGTTAATTAAGCAACAATTTTTATTTTAACTTACCGGATTCCATTCCTGGTAAAATTCTTCTCCGACGACTTTTTCTTTCTCAAAATATTCTACTCCATGCCATAAACCCATCGCGCCTGCGCTCAACAGACACGCAAAAAGCATCAAAATAGCGGTTGCGGTAACATTTCCGGGCGATCTTCGCCAACATCCGGCGACCCCAGTACAAAAAGCAGCAAAAACCGACAGAAAACTGATTATAAATAGGGCGATCATCGAACGACCCATATCTAATAGAGTAATTTTTAATATACCATAAAACTCATACAACAAATAAGAAAACTTACGTAATTTTGTCCATGCATCATCCGTTAATCCACTCGTTTCGTTATTTTCATCCGGAATATAATAATTGATGTTATTACAATGAGTTTCGACGGGACTCAAATACGTTTTCACTAAAAATAATTTATAACAAATAGTTATGTAATTTCTAATATATATTTACCTGTCGGAGGCCTTTCCTTTGGGTAACAAATCCTAAAAAGTCCTTTCGTCCTCGTGTAATAATAGTATTTTGATGTTAATTGTTCCAAAACAACTTTATCTTCACTTTTCGCTGCGTAATTCTAAAATTAAAAAAAAAATCAATTAAAATCCAATAGTATTAAATATTAATAATCATTTTTATAAGAAATATAACAAATAGATATTGTATCATAAATCCAATAGATAGGGTGTACAGAAGATCTTTTACATTTCAAGATGTCAATAAATGGGCAAATATACATCTTACATCCACCCAATAGATTTAAAAGAATGTAACTGCCAGAAGAATATTACAAAACATACTTTAGATTGATCGCCAGGAATATAAAAGAGATTTATGCCTCAATGTTGCAAACATTTCATCTCGTCTGGTGTCACTAGAAAATTCGAAACCATTCTAACTGTAGCACTAGGAGGTTCACAATCACCGTGGAAAGGAAAAAAACAGAAATTTGACGTGCGACAATTGGTACACAAGTTATTCTTTGGCAAAGGAGGTTTTGGAAGATAAAGTCACAATTGTTGGAACATTAAAAAAGAACAAAAAGGAATTGCCGGCAGAATTTTTACCAAATAAAACGAGAGAAAAACTCCCAAAAAAAATAAAGCTGTAATTTTGCTTTCTACGTGATGCTACAATTCACCCTGTAACCAATAAGCCAGATACTGTGGACAAAATGTGTGGCATGTACTCCGTTCTCAGAAGAACGAGAAGATGGCCTTTAGTTTTATTTTTTCAGTTGGTGAACATTGCAGGTATAAACAGTCAAATATTATATAACGCCATACACATCGAGGATGGTCACAAATACAGAAGAGTTTTTCTAAAAGAAAAAAAAGCTACCATAACGACATTACCTTTGGATATCCAACGTTTCCTGAATAAGTACAAACCTCCTCAAGAGGAACATGAACAAGAGCCTCCAGCAAAAATACGAGGAAGGTAGAAGAGTAACAACAATTTCGTGCCATACATGTCGCAAACCAGTAAGTAAAGAACATGCGATTAGTATAATTACTTGTCCTGACTGCAATAACTTTGCCGATGATGAGGAAGCTAACGAGTAGTCCTTTGCCCAAACTCTTGTGGGCTTTTGTTTTGTACTTGTTTTCCAGTTTTTAGATAATGTTTTGTATCACATATTTCTGTTTTTAATAAATTTTTTATAATGCTTCTTATTCAATAAACGTTTATGTAACAACTCTACCATTTTTTTGAAAACATCTGTATTCCTTTTACTATTTTTTCAGCCCATTTTGGTGATGGTGTACAAAATACACCGCGCAAGGTCTAGTGTTATATTTCAATTTCGTTATTTCGGGCATTCTCCTGTAATAGAAGTAGTATAGAAATGAGAGTTCAATATCAGGGGCATGCTCCTTGTGACGTCACGCTCCAATGTTATAAGATAGGGAGAGTGACCAACCTAAATCTGGGGAGTGAAAAAAGTAACTAGCTCATGAGGCGCCACCTAGCGGTGGTTGGTGGAACGATGCATAGAGTTCGCGAGTTGTTAGCTCGTGTGGCGATAAATGGATGGCGCAAATTTTTCTAGTTATTTTTTTTTAAGTCACCATATCTAGTCACTTTTGCAATACCAACCTAAATCTAGTTACTTTTTTACCCCCCAGACTTAGGTTGGTCACTTTTCCTATCTTATAACATTAGAGCGTGACGTCACAAAGAGCATGCTCTTGATCTTGAACTCTCATTTCTATACTACTAATAGAAATGGGATCGAAAAAGGTTTGCAGAGCTTCGTCCATGAGTGGAGCGCTTGATGGAGAATCGAGATCTACCTCTACAAATTCGAATTAAGCACAAGCGACCAAGAATGCTGCATGATATTATATGTCTCCTTTCCCTGTGTATCTTAAACTTTGAACAGGAGTGAGTATATTGGGTAGAAATTGTTCGAATAATATGTTCAAACATTCTCTTACTTTTCTTTAGGTTTGAAATACCGCCGTTATTGTAGTCACTCGTCAATGGATGGCGATTGTCTTCTTAGCATTATTTAGTTCGCCGATTCATAAAGCCGTCCCTTGCGTAGTGTCAGTAGTCATTAGTTAACAAAGTCAAGTAAAGTGTTGTGATGTGATAGTATTGACGAGTTTGACGTGTAAAGTGCTGACGAGTACTCGTGACGAAAAGTACCAACGTGTCTGTGAACAGTGGTGACGTGTAGTGGTATTAATGAAGTGTTTGTCCCTTCCTAGATATTATCAGTGTCACTTTCTGGGTAGCAGTGTCCAAGGTGAATGAATGTAAGTGTCACTTCTTAGATATTTGGTGTTTGTGAACCGAACGGAAACAGTGGTGCGTTGTGCTGTCTGGATGATTTAATAAGTGGTGGGAAAAGGACTCTACGAAATTACTACAGGAACAACTGAAAAACCTACAACAGAAAAGGAACTGGCAGAGTGATATAATAACGTTTATTGAAAATTGCGAATCAGCAAAAGAAGGGGAGTGCCTCCGCTGTCGGCGTGGTTGCCAATTTGGTTGCCGGTGCTGGTTTCTGAACTGGCCACCTAACCATCTAACTTATATTATACAAAAGGGAGTAGGAACAATAAAATAAAAATAAAACATCAATTGACTAGAAAAACATTTTTTATTAAGAATCACTTACATGCTTTTTTTAATTAATTTCTTACGCTTTAAACCTATGACAGTATTGCCTAACCCCTTAGGTCTACCCCTTTTTTTCATTTTTGCAGGCATTTTTATATTATTAAGATTTTTTTGTTCCATCCTTGTGTTCATCAGTAACTTGTACTTTAGTTATCTGATCTTTAAGTATCTTTATTTCAGCCTGATCTTCACTGTCTCGATTTAGAACAATCTTTTTTTGTTTAATTTGCTGCCCATCCTGTTCGTCTTCAGTAATCTACTCTATTATTGTCATTAATTCACCAATCGGCTGTCCACTAATCTGTTGTTTTTCAGTTTTCAGGTCTTCTCTAGTTTCTTCTCGGATATTCTGTTTTTCTTTGTTTGCAGTGTTTCTTCTTGGCTAATATGAAAACTGATAATTTCTTTTGTTTGTTCAGCTGGTATTTGAATTGCTTCCTCAGTAGAAGGATCAGATACAGATACCTGTGCGTTTTCTTCAATATACTCTATTTCTATTCCTATGTTTTCGAAGTAAATGTAGTCTTCCTCTGTTTCATTAGTTTTATTATTATTTATTTCTTCAATGTTTACACAAGCATTATTTTTAATGTCTTCCTATTTTTCAAACTTTTCAGAGAAAATATTGTTTAAAGCAATATCTTTTCCTTCAGACCATAGCTTAATAACATTTTGAATAAAATCTAATCTTTTGTGAAATATTGGTGTCACTTCACTGCATAACTTGGCCATTATTTTCCCTTGGTCATCAATCATTTTGAATTTTTGGTGACTAGTCATAGATTTTGGTTTTGTATTGGTTACTTTAACTGTTATCTCCTTGGTATTTGCTGTCTCAACTAATTCAAAATTATTTGACAAATTATTTTCACATTCTTGTAGTATTTGTCCGTATCGTCCATCTGTTTAGACATAAGCTTGATTCGAATAAAGACAATGATAAAAGTTTTCTTCATTTAAATATATGTCTGCAGGGTAACTGATTGGATCTACGGAACATGCATTCACAGTCTAATGGTGTTATTTTTAACAGTCCTTCTGTCGATATAGCCTAAAATGTGTCATCCTCAATATTTTTGAAGTCAGTATATGAATCTGACAATTCAAGCTGTTTTTGAACTTTTTCATATGCAAATATCGTCAAAAGTTCGCAATATAACGCTTTCACAGATCCAGTATTAAACGGCTTTGCCAAACGCTTGTTTAACATTTGTGAGATTTTGACGTCTTGTCCAGCACGGAAGCTGTTTATGTAAACAAACAAGTGCTTGATAAAATCTTCTAGAGGGCTATATCGGCTTATTACGCTTTTTAAATTAGAGTTTAAGTTCTCAAAACGATTGTTTGCAGTATTTGATAAGCATAAATTTTGGAAAGACAGATATTTTACCCATTGATCAGTAATATTGGCCCACTTTGTTTCATAATCATCTTTTACAATTTCAGGTACATTGTCTATCATTTCTTTGTAAATTGTGTCATATTCATGCTCTGATTTAGCATAAGTTAATTTTTGTAGAAACAATTTGCTCTTTTGGACTTCACTGGCTGTAATATTAATTTTTTTAGCAGAAATCTCTCTATTAAATATTTGAAATACATGAAATAGGCAAATCATGAACTTTGCGTTTGGAAAATGTTTCGCAAAAACTTTTCTCTCTGTCCTATCCTTGTCTGACATTACAACTTGAACTTTGTTACAAGTGGGATTATATTTTTTGAAATTTTCTATAAAGAAATTTAAGGCTTCTTCATCCTCATCAACTAGTAGGCATATTGCTACAATTTTTAGTAATCTAGACAACATTTAAGCGCTAAAATCCGAAACAATGATTCTGTACAAAAGATTTCACCAGTACAAAATAGAATCTAGTGACTCAATCATACAACATATATCAAAGATAGAGAACATCGCCAAGGAAATCAGAGAAAGCGGAGACAACATAAATGAAACAGCTGTCATAACAAAGATTCTAAACACACTACCAAGTAAATACAGAACTTTTAGACAAGCTTGGTTGTCTGTAGATGAAGCAAAACAAACTCTTCGAAATTTATCATCAAGGTTGATTAATGAAGAAGCCAGCCCTACCACGACAGAAACTGCAGAACACGTGGAGCTGCAGCCTCCAATAAGAAACCAGAAAAGAAGTCTGATAAAAAGAAAATTACTTGTTACAATTGTAAGCAAAAAAGTCATTTTGCCAAACATTGCAAAAACAAAGTGGTAAGGCAGGAAACTGCGAACAATTTCAAAAAATTTGGAGCTTTCACACATGGATTTTAGACAGTGGTGTATCCACACGCATTACCTTCAATAAAAGTTGAAAACCAACGAAGAACAGGATAATTTAAGTATAAAACTTGGTAATGGAGAACAGTTGATGGTAAAAGTTATTGGAAAAGTGAATATAGAGTGCTTAATTGTATCAACCTGGAGGA